CACTATTAATCATAAAACACGTCAAGTTTATTTGAAAATTCTAAAGAAAAAGAACACACAAACACACAATGCCTCAGTGATTAACAGAACTGTTTCACAGATCACAGAACTATATCAGGGTGTCATTTCTCAGGCAGAAATGTAGATAAAAAATAATGAAATCCTGTTCCCCAAACAAGTGCAAGAACCACAGAGTCAAGAATAGGTTAAATATACAAATAAAATAAAATCAATTAAAAACAATAGCACATCAACATAAAAACATATAAATATAAAGCTGGAGCCTGAGGACAGTGTCCAAAAGCACAACATCACTATTAATCATAAAACACCTCAAGTTATTTGAAAGTTCTGAGGACAAAGAACACACAAACACACAATGCCTCAGTGTTTCACAGAAGTATATCACAGATCACAGAACTATATCAGGGTGTCATTTCTCAGGCAGAAATGTAGATAAAAATAATGAAATCCTGTTCCCCAAACAAGTGCAAGAACCACAGAGTCAAGAATAGGTTAAATATACAAATAAAATAAAATCAATTAAAAACAATAGCACATCAACATAAAAACATATAAACATAAATCTGAAAGCGTTGCTCAAACTCCCGTAACAGTCCCGTTATTTTATATTTAAACCGCTTCATGTCTGCCACATGTTGGGTGGCGCACACATTTTTCAGACAGGGGAAGTGAGCTGCATCACCACCGGCAAGTTGCGTCTCCCACAATGACAGCTTCAACTTGAAAGAACGTATGCTGTCATAATACTGCGTGACAACTTTGTTGCGCCCTTGCAGCTGTTTGTTCAAGTTATTCAGGTGCTCTGTAACATCCACCATAAATGCAAGGTCCTGCATCCATTCTGCGGAATGAAATTCTAACACTGGTTTGCCCTTTTCTTCCATGAACTGTTCAATTTCTTCTCGTAAATCAAAGAAACGCCTCAGCACAGCACCTCGGCTTAACCATCTTACCTCAGTGTGGTATGGCAGGCCATAGATGTGGTCTTTCTCTCTGAGAAGGCTGTCAAACTGACGGTGATTCAGGCTTCTGGATCGGATTAAATTAACAGTTTGGATGACCACCTTCATGACGTTATCCATCTTTAATGACTTGCAACACAAAGCCTCCTGGTGCAAAATACAGTGAAAAATCAAAAAATCACGTCCTCCATTTGCAGATTGCACTTTCTCTCTGAACTTTGTCACAACGCCTGCTTTTTTCCCGATCATTGAGGGCGCACCATCTGTAGCCAGGCTGACAGCGCGGGACCAGTCCACTCCGACCCTGTCCAGCGCGCCGACGAGTGCGGTAAAAATATCAGCTGCTGTCGTTGTATCTGTCATCGGCACCAACTCCACGAACTCCTCGGTGACGGTCAATGTGTCATCAACTCCGCGGATGAAAATGGCCAGTTGTGCAACATCTGTAATGTCCGTGCTTTCATCAATTGCAACCGAAAACGCAATAAATGACTTTACTTTTTGCTTCAACTGGCTGTCCAAATCCACTGAAAGATCGGAAATCCTGTCTGCAACTGTGTTTCTTGTCAGGCTGATATTTGCAAAAGCCTGCCGCTTTTCAGGGCACACAATCTCCGCTGCCTTCATCATGCATGTTTTTACAAATTCACCCTCACTAAATGGTTTTGAAGCCACTGCGATTTCATTAGCAATGAGGTAGCTAGCTTTCACTGCAGCGTCACTGATGTCTCGGCTGTGAGTAAACACAGACTGCTGTTTCTTCAGACCCGCCAACAGTTCATTCACCTTCTCTCATCTCCGCTGTCCTTGAAAGTTGTCATATTTGTCGGCATGAAGACTCACATAGTGGCGACGAAGGTTATATTCTTTCAGCACTGCAACATGCTCTGAACACACCAAACATACAGCTTTCCCATTCAATTCCGTAAATAAATAGGATGACCATTTTTCTTGGAACACTCTGCACTCTGCGTCCACTTTTCTCTTTTTTGACAGAGACATATTGGGGCAATGAGGGTGCCAAAGCACATAATGTTAAAAGTAGAAGCCGTAATAAATATCGCGGGCAAAACAAAGTAGCTCATTGGCTGCACGTGCTTGACCTACTTGCTCTGCCCCGGTATAAACAGTTTGCTTGCTTAACACAATTGCTATTGCGCCATCCAGTGGACGCAATTGGAACAGCAGTTCATTTTATTGAAAAATTGCAGCGCATTTATATACTTTACCAAAAAAAAAAAATAATAATTTTTAATCATCTCGCGGGCCGGATTAAACCCGTTTGCGGGCCTGATCCGGCCCGCGGGCCGTACGTTTGACACCCCTGCTATAGAACATTTGTGGGCAGAACTGACAAAGCCTGTGTGATCAATGAGGCCTACAAACCTGACTCAGTTACACCAGCTCTGTCAGGAGGAATGGGCCAAAATTCACACAACTTATTGTGGGAAGCTTATGGAAGGCTACCCAAAATGTTTGACCCAAGTTAAACAATTTAAAGGCAATGCTACCAAATACTAATTGAGTGTATGTAAACTTCTGACCCACTGGGAATGTGATGAAAGAAATAAAAGCTTAAATAAATAATTCTCTCTTCTATTATTCTGACATTTCACATTCTTAAAATAAAGTGGTGATCCTAACTGATTTTTACTAGGATGAAATGTCAGGAATTGTGAAAAACTGAGTTTAAAAGTATTTGGCTAAGGTGTATGTAAACTTCCGACTTCAACTGTACATGTACAAATTACCATGACTAACCTCTGTACCCCCGCACATTGACTCGGTACCGGTACCCCCTGTATATAAAAAGTAACTTTTTATTTTCGTTTTTTATTTTCGTTTTTTTTGTAAATATTTTCTTAACTCTATTTTCTTAAAACTGCCTTGTTGGTTTAGGGCTTGTTAGTAAGCATTTCACGGTAAGGTCTACACCTGTTGTATTCGGTGCATGTGACAAATAAAATTTGATTGGATTTATAGATCTGAAGCGGTAGAATTGTTCTATGTGCTCTATTCCTATACTTCCCGTTCTTAAGTTTCATTTCTGTGTCTTTTACTTTCGGGTTTGTACACCAGTGTCAAACAGCAAAACTAATATTTTTGGTTTAATTAAAATATATTTCACAGCGGTTTAGATGGTACAATGATTATCTAAACTATCCATTGCTTGTTTTGTCACATAAACTGAAACGATTGGATTTTTTGCCAAAGGAAATGGCAAGACCGGTTTCTGCAAATTGCACCTTAAAAAGATTTTACTGAGTTACATATAAGGAAAGCAGTCAAATGAAATAATGCCCTAATCTATGGATTTCACATGACTGGGAAGGGGCTCAGCCATGGGTGGGCCTGGGAGGGCATAGGCACACCCATTTAGGAGCCAGAGCCAGTCAATCAGAATGAGTTTTCCCCACAAAAGGGCTTTATTACAGACAGAAATACTCCTCAGTTTCATCCGTTGTCGGGGTGACTGGTCTCAGACGATCCCGCAGGTGAAGAAGCCGGAGGTGGAAGTCCTGGGCTGGCATGGTTACACGTGGTCTGCGGTTGTGAGGCCAGTTGGACATACTGCCAAGTTCTCTAAAACGACTTCTGGCAACAGCTCTGGTGGACATTCCTGTAGTCAGCATGCCAGTTGCAAGATCCCTCAAAACTTGAGACATCAGTGGCAATATGTTCTCTGACAAAACTACAAAAATATAAATGCAACATGTAAAGTGTTGGTCTCGTGTTTTATGAGCTGAAATAAAAGATCATAGACATTTTCCGTAGGCACAAAATGCTAATTTCTCTCACATTTTGTGCACAAATCCCAGTTAGTGAGCATTTCTCATTTTGTCAATATAATGCATCCACCTGTGGCATATCAAGAAGCTGATTAAACAGCATGATCATTACACAGGTGCACCTTGTGCTTGGGGACAATAAAAAGCCACTCTAAAATGTGCAGTTTTGTCATTCAACACAATGCCACAGATGTCTCAAGTTTTGAGGGAGCGTGCAATTGGCTAGCTGACTGCAGGAATGTCCACAAGAGCTGTTGCCAGAGAATTTAATATTAATTTCTCTACCATAAGCTGCCTCCAACGTCGTTTTAGAGAATTTGGCCAACTGGCCTCACAACCGCAGACCCCGTGTATGACGTTGTGTGGGCGAGCGGTTTTCTGATGTCCATTTTGTAAACAAAGTGCCCGATGGTGGAGGTGGGGTTATGGTAGGGCAGGCATAAACTACTGACAATGAACACAAATGCATTTTATCGATGGCAATTTGAATGCACAGAGATACAGTGACGAGACCCTGAGGCCCATTGTCGTGCCATTCATACGCCGCCATCACCTCATGTTTCAACATGATAATGCACAGCCCAGTATCGCAAGGATCTGTACACAATTCCAGGAAGCTGAAAATTGCACATTTATTGATTTCCTTATATGAACTGTAACTCAGTATGTTGCATTTATATTGCTGTTCAGTATAAAAGGCTCAACAGCGAGTCTCTGCCATGTTATGGGGAAATAGGATGCGGGGGAAGGGGAGATTTATTTTGAACTCAGCCTAGTGCTGTTGGAATTCACCTAGCTTCTACATAGGGGAGAAATTCTATATGTGATGCATTTTATCAGGCGAAAATACAGCACAGCATGTCAGAATAGCTGGAAACAGAAGTGCTCTTCAAATAGCATTTATTGCTCAGCACATTCAAGCATGATCAAATCACATTATCAACCATTCACATTTTCATTCCTATGCACATTCTCATCCATTGGGCAGAAGTAAATAGATACAGCAAAATACAGCTTTTGATTTGTTACATTCAATATTACAGTGCATCTCTCTCACAGGAGTTCATTAACTGTCCCTCATAATTGACAGTCACGAACCATGATACTGTACATATTAAGTGTCAGTTAATTTTTTAAGGCGGAGCAGTGCTCATATTGCTTTAAAGGCTTGCACTAACCATGCAGTTTTACAGAAAACCTCTACTGACCTCTAAATCTAGTCATTCTAAAAAGAGGTTAAGTCCCACGTTTTAGGTTTAGCTTGCATCTCTGCGATTGGCTCAGCATCTTGTCCTGTTGTCTTCTTCAAAGTTTTGTCATCTTTGCTCTCTCCATCACCTCCTGTAAAGCCGTTCTCGTCTATTTTAAATTGCGCCTGTTCTGTTATCTTCCCATCAACTGTTTTCTCTTTCAAACCTACGTCTGATACATCCTGTTCTTTCACTGGAGATGTCTTTGTAATAGATATCTCCACATGTTCAGGTTTTAACTCAGAGGACTTGGTCTTCACGCTCTCTGTCTTTGGGGTTTCATCTTTGGGATCTGTAACCTTCTCAGGCTCTTTGGCCATACTTTCCTCTGGTTTCTCCTGAGTTGTGTTGCTCCCTGGCGCCTCCCTGTGTGAATCCATGCTCTCTGCAACTGCAGACACCTGTTTCTCTGGTGGTGTGATTGTCTTAGCTTTGTCACCACTGCTGATCGTTTCACTCTCTTCTGTAGGGGTGGTCGTTGATTCTGGGGTGAGGGTTGAGTCTGGTTTAGGGGTGGTCGTTGATTCTGGGGTGAGGGTTGAGTCTGGTTTAGGGGTGGTCGTTGATTCTGGGGTGAGGTTTGAGTCTGGTTTAGGGGTGGTCGTTGATTCTGGGGTGAGGGTTGAGTCTGGTTTAAGGGTGGTCGATGATTCTGGGGTGAGGGTTGAGTCTTGTTTAGGGGAGGTTGTTGATTCTGGGGTGAGGAATGAGTCTGGTTTAGGGGTGGTTGTTGATTCTGGGGTGAGGTTTGAGTCTGGTTTAGGGGTGGTAGTTGGTTCTGGGGTGAGGCTTGAGTCTGGTTTAGGGGTGGTCGTTGATTCTGGGGTGAGAGTTGAGTCTGGTTTAGGGGATATTTCCTTTTTAGGGATGATGGTTGGGTCTGGTATAGAGGATGTCTCCTCTTTAAGGGTAACAGTGGGGTCTGGTATAGAGGATATTTCCACTTTAGTAGTGACAGTGGGGTCTGGTTTAGGGGATGTTTCCTCTTTAGGGGAGACAGTTGGGTCTGGTATAGGGGATGTTTCTTCTTTAGGGGTGACAGTGGGGTCTGGTTTAGGAGATGTTTCTTCTTTAGGGGTTACAGTTGAGTCTGGTTTAGGGGATATTTCCTTTTTAGGGGTGATGGTTGTGTCTGGTTTAGGGGAAGTTTCTACTTTAGGGGTGATGGTTGGGTCCGGTTTTGATGTTTCCTCTTTAGGGGTGACAGTGGGGTCTGGTTTAGGGGATGTTTCCTCTTTAGGGGTGACAGTGGGGTCTGGTTTAGGGGATGTCTCCTCTTTAGGGGTGACAGTGGGGTCTGGTTTAGGGGATATTTCCTCTTTAGGGGAGACAGAGGGGTCTGGTTTAGGGGATGTTTCTTCTTTAGGGGTGACAGTGGGGTCTGGTTTAGGGGATGTTTCTTCTTTAGGGGTGACAGAGGGGTCTGGTTTAGGGGATGTTTCTTCTTTAGGAGTGACAGTGGGGTCTGGTTTAGGGGATGTGTCTTCTTTAGGGGTGACGGTTGTGTCTGGTTTATGTGATATCTCAGATTCTTTCATTTTTTCCTCAGCTGTTGAGACATCTTTTGTGAAATTTTCACTGCCATTCGATTCATTCAGCTCAACCTTTTTTACACTATAATCCTTGCTGCTCACTTTTGGCTCTGTCGGACCCACCTCCTTTCCAGGAATCATTGGCACATGCTCTTCCTTCCACTCACTTGTTGTGCTGGGAATTCCGTCTGGAATTTTACCTCCTACTGTTGTGTCATCCTGTGTCGTTTTTACACCAGAATCATCTGGTGACTTCACCTGCTCCACTGCCGCTTTGGTTGAACTGCTCTTCAGCTCTGCAGTGATATCAGGGGATTCCATGTCCTTCTCTGTGGTCTCAGGGAGATCCTCTTCTTGTGTTCTCACATCGCACTCTGCCTCTTGTGTTGTCACAGCACTCTCTACCTCTTGAGGTTGGTCTGACTCTCTGTGCTCCTTCTGATCACGTTTCTGCTCCAGTGTTGGGGCACTCTGCTCTGTCATATCTACCTCTTTTCTCTCTTTGATGGGACTTTCTTTTGGGCTATCCTGCTGTTGCTCTGTTGAGGCACTCTCCTCTTTCAGATCTATCTCTTTTTTCTCTTTTAAATGACTTCCTTTTTTTCTCTCCTCTGACACCTTTTTGGATTCTTTGGTGATGTCCTCCATGGGGACCTGTGGTTCACCCTTTATTGAACTTCCTGTTTTGGGTTCTGTTGAGCTGTCACCGTTCATGGGAACCTCTGGTTTGGACTCGTCATGTTTTGGGGCGTCATCTTTTTCTAATGTCTCCTTTTTCTTGGTGTCTAGCTCCTCGGTTGTGTCCAGTTTTTCCTTCTCTCCCTTACGGGTGGCCTCAGCTGATTTGACTTCACTTGGTGTTTTTTCACCTCTGTCAATGTCCTCTGTCTTTTTTACTTCATCTGGCTCATCCCCCTTTTCCTCTCTTTCGTCATCTCCTTCCTCTCCATCTTCTCCCTCGCTAGGGTTAACTCCATCTCCATTCATCGCTACCTCTGCTGATGTTTCCATCTGCTGTCTCTTAGACTCTTCCTCCTGTTCACCCTTTTCCTCTGGGGCGTCCACTTCAAGATCCACTTTACTTCCATCTTTCTCTTTCTCTTCATCCTCCTCTTCCCCACTCCTCCTATCAGCTTTGTCACGCTCTTCTCCCTGCTTCTGTCTCAGCTCCTCTCCCTGTCCCCCGACCGTCTCCTCGGAGCCTCTCTCCTCGGAGCCTGTCTCCTCGATCTCGGACATCTCCACCTCTCTGGTGGTCTCAGTTATGATCTCCTCTACAAACTTGTACTGGGGCACAGATCTACGTGTGGGACCTCCCTGCCGGGCCAGGCAAGGCAGGGTGTAGACGGGGGGCTGGTTGTAGATGCAGGGCATGGAGATGTGGGTGTCAGAGATGGTGTACAGATGGGACTCCTCACCCTCCAGGAGTTTCCTATAGGGAGACAGAAAGACCTGTTATTACCGTCATGACTATGAATGGATATGTCCCAATGTGTTAGCCTCGTAAATACCAGACTGATCACCGCTGTGCACATCCATGTGAGCTCGCCAGATCAGGCGGCTTGCGACGCTACCAATGTGTGTGGATGTGTCTGAATATCCATATTATGATTAAAGTGTCATTCTGTGTTGTGATATGGTCTATGGTCAGTTCAGGTTAAATATGAAATCAAACTATTTCAATAAAATGTCTACTGTTTAATTTGATTGGTCTTTCTTCATTGTTCACTATTTACTGTGTTTTGTAGTAATCCCTCACTAACACTATGACACTTTTGCACAGTTTTGCTCTAACCCAGCACTAAGTTGAATCAGATGTGTTAGTGCTGGGCTAGAATAAAATGCACACCCCCTGGTTATCCTCAGAAAAAGATCCAGGAACACACTATAAAATATATGGTATTTTCCTCAGTCAATTATATGATATATGGGAGAGATGGAGTTGATGTCTCTTACCTGTAAGAGAGAATCTCCACATCCAAAGCCATTTTGACATTCAGCAGGTCCTGGTACTCTCTCAGGTAGCCAGACATGTCTAGTTTAGCATTGGTCAGCTCATTCTCCAGCTGCCTGATAGTGTCCTGGACAGAAAAGCACACACAAAGAGTCAATAATAGTGTCCACCAGCCACTTTGGTTGGTATGACAACAGGGAGAAATTTAGGGGGGGGGGGGGATAATGTTCTACCCCAATAGGCCTATATGAGGAAATTATATTCCAATAATGGTATAGTTCACATGGGGCCTATATTTGTTGCTGACACCTACAACATAGGCCTGAATGCAAATATGAATCATAAAAATGCGTATGTTTATTTACAATGATTAGAGGTACAAAATAAACCACAGCCTACCTGGTAATGAATCATTTCCACATAGTGACGCTCTTCCAGCTCGTGTAGTTGTTTTTCCAGGGCCTCTCTCGTTCCTTTCCCGCAGTCCAGTTCAATATTTTTTACCTGCAGGCGCCTTCTATTCTCCTGGATCTCCTGCTGGGTCGCCTTCATGGCCTCTCTGTTACTCTCGGCCGCTTTGGTTAACTTTGCGAACTGGACACGGAAGCCCTCCTCCGCCTGCTGAATGTCGGAGGCAGCGTGACCTTCTAACTGTGCACGGATGTCCCGGAGAGCCGCAGTGATTTCGGGTTTGCAAAAGTCGTGTGCCTTGACCGTTACCTGAGCCTCTTGGATCTGGGCCACCATCTCCGATACCTCGTCCTCATGGTTCTTCTTCAGGAAGTGGATCTCGTCCACCAGAGACTGCGCTTTCTTGTCCAACTGAAGTTTGGCGAGGTATGCATCGTTGGCGTCCTTTTTCAGCACAAGGATGCCGTTCTCTGCGTCCGAGCGGTCACGCGCCTCCTGCTCGTACTTGTCTCTCAAGGTGAGGAAATCTTCCTCCAGGTTCTGATGCTCTATCTCGATCTGACGCTTCTGAAGGGTGATGTCATGAAATAATTTCCTCAGATCCCTAAACTCCGGCTCGTGCTCCTGGGCCAGAGAAGCAGGGGACTGTGCCTTCTGTTTGATTTCCTCGATTTCCCTCTCGAGCAATTCATTTTGATGCTCTAAATGACGCACCTTCTCTATGAATCCGGCGAAACGATCGTTCAGCCCATGGAGCAGTTCTTTCTCATTCACATTTTCGTCGTCACACACCCCCGCCCGGTAAAATGGGTTTGATAAATCAAAAAAGCTCCCGTGATCTTGACAGGATCCGAATTCGCTCTTCAGCGTCTTTGATATCCTCTGCTCATAGATGCGGTATCGACCAACGCCAACGTCCTGGACGCAGAGTGGAATCCCAGTCATTTGAGTTTAGAGAGGGAATCTCAGCTTGCATTCCTCTATGCGGAGAACCCGAAGGATACTCCATTCTGTGGCTTCATATTGTCGTCAGTAGACTCAGCCTGTGTTGGTGTGCAGGCGAAGCGCACACGGCTCGTACGCTTTTATACACCCCCTCGGTCTGCCTCGGGCTGCAGAATAGAACTGTCCATAGTGCTGAAAAATGTATAGAATCAGCTGTTGTTCTTGACTGTCTGCAACGCGCGCGTCTTAAAACCTGTGCCATCCGACCGTTGAATACATCAAACTCTAAACCAAACGTCAATAAAAATGTATGTCACATACACGTGTTTAGCAGATGTTATTGCGGGTGTAGCGAAATGGTTGTGCTTCTAGCTCCGACAGTGCAGTAATATCTAACAAGTAATATCTAACAATTTCACAACATACAGTGGGGAAAAAAGTATTTAGTCAGCCACCAATTGTGCAAGTTCTCCCACTTAAAAAGATGAGAGAGGCCTGTAATTTTCATCATAGGTACACGTCAACTATGACAGACAAATTGAGGAAAAAAAATCCAGAAAATCATATTGTAGGATTTTTAATGAATTTATTTGCAAATTATGGTGGAAAATAAGTATTTGGTCACCTACAAACAAGCAAGATTTCTGGCTCTCACAGACCTGTAACTTCTTCTCTAAGAGGCTCCTCTGTCCTCCACTCGTTACCTGTATTAATGGCACCTGTTTGAACTTGTTATCAGTATAAAAGAGACCTGTCCACAACCTCAAACAGTCACACTCCAAACTCCACTATGGCCAAGACCAAAGAGCTGTCAAAGGACACCAGAAACAAAATTGTAGACCTGCACCAGGCTGGGAAGACTGAATCTGCAATAGGTAAGCAGCTTGGTTTGAAGAAATCAACTGTGGGAGCAATTATTAGGAAATGGAAGACATACAAGACCACTGATAATCTCCCTCGATCTGGGGCTCCACGCAAGATCTCACCCCGTGGGGTCAAAATGATCACAAGAACGGTGAGCAAAAATCCCAGAACCACACAGGGGAACCTAGTGAATGACCTGCAGAGAGCTGGGACCAAAGTAACAAAGCCTACCATCAGTAACACACTACGCCGCCAGGGACTCAAATACTGCAGTGCCAGACGTGTCCCCCTGCTTAAGCCAGTACATGTCCAGGCCCGTCTGAAGTTTGCTAGAGTGCATTTGGATGATCCAGAAGATGATTGGGAGAATGTCATATGGTCAGATGAAACCAAAATATAACTTTTTGGTAAAAACTCAAATCGTCGTGTTTGGAGGACAAAGAATGCTGAGTTGCATCCAAAGAACACCATACCTACTGTGAAGCATGGGGGTGGAAACATCATGCTTTGGGGCTGTTTTTCTGCAAAGGGACCAGGACGACTGAAGGAAAGAATGAATGGGGCCATGTATCGTGAGATTTTGAGTGAAAACCTCCTTCCATCAGCAAGGGCATTGAAGATGAAACGTGGCTGGGTCTTTCAGCATGACAATGATCCCAAACACACCGCCCAGGCAACGAAGGAGTGGCTTCGTAAGAAGCATTTCAAGGTCCTGGAGTGGCCTAGCCAGTCTCCAGATCTCAACCCCATAGAAAATCTTTGGAGGGAGTTGAAAGTCCGTGTTGCCCAGCAACAGCCCTAAAACATCACTGCTCTAGAGGAGATCTGCATGGAGGAATGGGCCAAAATACCAGCAACAGTGTGTGAAAACCTTGTGAAGACTTACAGAAAACGTTTGACCTGTGTCATTGCCAACAAAGGGTATATAACAAAGTATTGAGAAACTTTTGTTATTGACCAAATACTTATTTTCCACCATAATTTGCAAATAAATTCATTAAAAATCCTACCATGTGATTTTCTGGAGAAAAAAAATCTCATTTTGTCTGTCATAGTTGACGTGTACCTATGATGAAAATTACAGGCCTCTCTCATCTTTTTAAGTGGGAGAACTTGCACAATTGTGGCTGACTAAAAACTTTTTTCCCCCACTGTATACCCAATACACACAAATCTAAGTAAGGAATGGAATTTATATACATATATGGACAAGCAATGACAGAGCGGCATGGACTAAGATACAGTAGAATATTATAGAATACAGTACATACATATGAGATGAGTAATGCAAGATATGTAAACATTATTAAAGTGACTAGTGTTCCATTTCTTAAAGTGGCCAGTGATTTCAATAGGCAGCAGCAGATTTTTTTGGCCTTCCTGTGACATCGGGTGCTGTACGTGTCCTGGAGGGTGGGTAGTTTGCCCCCGGTAACCGCCCTCTGGAGAGCCCTGTGGTTGCGGGCGGTGCAGTTTCCGTACCAGGCGGTGATACAGCCCGACAGGATGCTCTCAATTGTGCACAGGATGCTCTCAATTGTGCAAGCCCTTAACCAACAATGCAGTTTTTAAGAAAATAAAAAAAAGGGTTAAGTAAAAAATAGATAAGTAAAAAAAATAAAAAATAGCAATTAATTAAAGAGCAGCAGTAAAATAAAATAACAGTAGGGAGGCTATATACAGGAAGTTCCGGTACAGAGCCAATGTGCTTGGGCACCAGTTAGACGAGGTAATTGACGTAATATGTACATGTGGGTAAAGTTAAAGTGACTATGCATAAATAATAAACAGAGTAGCAGCAGCGAAGAAGAGTGGGACAACATTCCGCAGGCCACAATCAACAGCCTGATCAATTCTATGCGAAGGAGATGTGTCGCTCTGCATGAGGCAAATGGTGGTCACACCAGATACTGACTGGTTTTCTGATCCATTCCCTTAACTTTTTTGATAAAGTATCCATGACCAACAGATGCATATCTGTATTCCCAGTCATGTGAAATCCACAGAGTAGGGCCTAATTGTTATGAGAACTATTTAACTAACTATTTCAGTGTCTCTGTGTGTCTCCCAAAAGGTTGTAATGCTTTTGGATCAAGAAACGGACAGAGTTCCGGTCTGCATAGTCAGAGATCTTTATTCATTGAGAATTCTGCCACAAAATGGTCGTAAAATATTTTTATACGCACACGTCATACAAAAATCCCACCCTCTATAGGCGGGTTGTAGTTTTCCACTTGAAAACTGCTCTCCTGACCATCAGGTCACACACACACACACACACACACACACACACACACACACACACACACACACACACACATACACACACACACACACACACACACACACACATACACATACACACATACATACACACACATGTTCTTATCATAGTCTACTCTCTGCATTCCTCAGTTATCTCCGTTCTCACAATATTCTGACTGCCTCATTGTACATCTAACTAAGCTACACATATTATCAGTTTATAGTCTTATGATTCTAACACTTTTCACACAGTTTCGGAGTGTAATAATTAGTCACTACTAAGAAAGTACTAATCATACTTAAAACAAGAACATTTCACAACTATATTTAAGGGTGGAACATTAGTCATTACTTTTAACCTGTATATATTTTAATTTCTATATCACTAATACATTTATTGCTTTCCTTATATGAACTGTAACTCAGTATGTTGCGTTTATATATTTGTTCAGTATAAAAGGCTCAACCGTGAGTCTATGCCATGTTATGGGGAAATAGGATGCGGAGGAAGGGAGATTTATTTTGAACTCAGCCTAGTGCTTTTGGAATTCACCTTGCTTTCACATAGGGGAGAAATTCTATATGTGATGCATCTCATCAGGCGAAATACAGCACAGCATGTCAGAATAGCTGGTGTAGTATCTGAACAGTTTATAATTTAACAATTCTTACCCCTCATAGTCTAAGAAATCTTCTGAACTATGGGTAATATACATTGACTATGCCTAGGCTCAGAGACTATCATAGGCTCTTAGAGCAGGAAGATGTCACCCTAGTGAGGTGTGATACGGTGAATCCAGCCGAGAATTTGCCAACTTCAGAGGATGGTGAGCCACATGATTCTGTTCAAGAAGCAGATAAATACTAGAGGCTTAGATCAGATTTGCAAGCCTTTCCATTACGTGAGGCAGACCTGGAGTATTGGACTGATGGGTCTTGTTATCGTGTGGGAGATAAATTGTGTGCTGGCTATGCAGTAGTTAAAGCCCAAGGAACTGGATTTGTTGTTGAAAAGGCTGAAGTAATACCACAGCCTGCGTCTGCACAACTTGCTGAACTTGTGGGTCTAACAGAAGCGTGCTTGTTAGCAGAAGGAAAGCGAGTGACGATATACACTGATTCAGCATATACACATAGTGTATGTCATTTGTTTGGAGCAGTGTGGAAAGGTCGAGGGTTTAAGAAAATGGATGGTTCTCCAATACAACATCATGCGCAAATAATGAAATTGTTGCATGCTATGATGAAGCCTAAAGAGATAGCGATAGCTAAGTGTGCAGCTCATAAAACCGATGTGTCAAAAGTCACACAAGGGAACAAAGCTGCTGATGAAGCTGCAAAAGCCGTCACAGGAGCGGTCAAATTGGGCAAAGTTTTTCTGGTCACTCATGGAGTGGACTTGGAAGACAAAATGACGCTTAAGGATGTGATTTTGATGCAGGAAGCTGCTTCTACGATCGACAAACAGTTATGGCTAGACCGAGGTGCCATCAAAGATGCTACTGGTCTTTGGAGAAACCATGAGGGGTTGATAGTAGCGCCTCTAGACCTATTAGGTCTGATGATTCAGGAAGCACATGGGTTAGCTCATGTTGCAAGGGGGGAGGTTAGGAGAAAGATTACAAAGGAGTATGGTTTTTGGGCACCATATTTGCTTGAACGGGTTGACTATGTCATAGGCAGGTGCACAATCTGTCTGAAAAATAATGTTCGCAGGGGTGTGACTGTTCTTCCTGGTCACATTCCTACACCGAGAGGTCCTATGCGTGAGTTGGTTATCGACTTTGTTGATATGATAAAACCAGTTGAAGGGAAAAGATACATGCTGGTGGTTGTGGATAGATTTTCACGATGGCCGGAGGCCTGTCCAA